AATCTATCCCTTTGAGCAAAGAAAGAAGCTACTCACTCTCTCATCTCAGAAAAACACGAGGTTTTTATTTGGCGGGGGGAGCTTGAATCTTCTACCAATCTTAGCTCTATTCTGACTCTGATTGAGATAGGAGCTCCAATCCTGTGTTCCTCAACTTGAGCAGGATGAGGAAAACCTCGAAGGAATGCCCAGAACCAGCTGGAGTACTGGGTGATATAAGCAGAATGAGTCACATGTTGAAGAAGGTAGGAGATTTAGGCACATTATTAAGGCCAGGAAGCTATGCTTTCCTACAGGTTCAGACAAGCAGGGATGGGGGCTATGTTTTGTTTACTGTTCATCATGAGAATAGCTAGCTTCTGTAGGAACAGGGACCTTCTTTTTGCAACAGATGTAATTTGGTCATAAGGGTTTCAGCATACTTCTTCCTGGAGTTAAGCAGGTGGGGGAAAGAATGATTTCCCTTCTTATCTAATGACATTCCCATATTCTGTCGTGCTCTAGTCTTCCAGCTCGCCAGACCTTGCATGGTAACTCTTGTAATCTCAAATACTCTGTCCTTTTCTGGAACACAATGTGGTAGCTGTAGAGTCAAAGGCATGACTCTAGATCTGTCTAACAAGCAAAATGAATGGACAAGTAACCTCCCTATTCTGGGATTCTGCTTCCTCATTTATAAAATGACTTCGAATGTCTCTTTGTGGACATAAAATTCTAAAATTTCTCTCGTGTTCCACATGCTTGTGTTTCTTATCTCTTGAGTCTCAGTTTTGGTTATTCTACAATGATGTTAGTAGGTATCATTTTACTCCGTTCTGGCTGAATCTTGGTGATAGGCCTGGGCTCCAATCAGTGCTTACCATACCACCCTGCCTCAAGGAGACATAAGTAGAAAGCCACTGTATAGACTGATCTGGCAGTAGCATCTTCTTCTCTACTGGGCATCATCAACTTTTATCTCTGTGTTGAATCATGTCCATCAACAAATACATTTCACCAACTTTCTTCTGTTTACTCCATTTCCCCTCCAGCCCTAATTTCTCTATTCCTGATAGCAAAGCTCCTCAAAATAATTCTTACTCACCGTGTTCAATCTCTCTCATCCTACCCACTTTTTATGAATATTGAGAAATAATTCACATGCCATAAAACTGACCATTTAAAAGGGTATAATCTAGTGATATTTAGTACATCGGCTATGCTACGCAACTATTACCATCACTTCTAGAATATTTCCATCATCCCCCAAACAAACCCTATTTCATTAGTCACCATTAATTTCTCTCCACAGCTCTTGACAACTACAGGACATAAAGTTGTATCTATTTGATTTTGCTGGATATTTTCTATAAATGTAAGCATATGCCATTTTTATTTTGTGTCTATTCTTTCACTTAATGCCTCACAGATTCATTCATTATCAAAACTTCATTTTCATTTGTGAATGAATGAATAATATCTCATGACATTGATAGACTATATTGTTTGTCCAGTCATCACTTGGTGGACACTTCTTATACTTCTTGGCTCTCATGAACAATTGTATATACATTCTTTCTTAAATCTGCTCTATTCAGGTTTGAGTCCTCTCCCATGTTCTAGTACCTTTCTTTTTCCCAGGTAAATAATGATCTTTACAGTGCAAAACTGATGGTCAATTCTGAGGACCATCTTACTTATTTTGAATATCTGACACAGCTTCATTTGGGGGGGGAGGAAGTTTTGGGGGAATCAACCAGGGTCTCGTGTATGTTAAGCAGATGATCTATCACTGAGCTATACCCTCAGCCCCTTTCTTTCTTGAATCACCTGCTTTACATAGCGATAGAGTATGAATGCATCCCCAGTTTTATATGTTGAAACTTAGTTGCTATTGTAATATCATTAAGGACTCGGGTCTTTGGGTGGTGATTAAGTTATGAGGGTTCTGTCTCCATAATTTGCAATTATGGTCTTATAAAATAGCTGCAGGGAAATAGCTTGACCCCTTTCCTCTCCACTTTCTGCCATGTGAAGACACACAGGAAGAGGCGCAGTCTCGTAAGCAGGGAGCAGCCCAGACTAGACACTAAATCTGCTGTTATTTTGCTCTTATTATACTCTCTAGCCTTTAGCATTCTAAGAAATGAATTCAGTATGACCAGACACAGCTGCATATGTGTGTATGAACATCTGCATACACACACACGCACACACACGCACACACACACACACACACACACACACACTGAATTCCTATTGTTTATAAATTCCCCAGTCTAAGGCAGTTTGTGATAGTAGCATAAATGCACTAGGATAATTAGCTTTCAGGGCATCCCCCTTTCTTAGTTCACTGGCGCTTTCTTAGTCTCTTGCTGCTTTTTCTTCCTAACCTTTATGCTAAACTATGAAGTGCTCTAGGATCATTCTGCAGTTGTCTTTTCTTCTTAGTCTATACTCACTTTTGTGGCAGTGTCATTTGTTTCATGGCCTTAAATACATTTTAAACATTGGTAGATTCTAAATGTAGATCCTCAGCATCTCTGTTCAATTCCAGATTCATCTATTTAAACTGAAATGTTTAATTGTTGCAAATAGAATTTCTAATAATTTACAATTCTTCTTGCATAATTTTTCTTTCTAGGAATAGAAACTTTAAATATGGACTTGCTCAGGCCAAAATCTTTGGCCTTGTCTTTGAGTCCTCTTTCTTGAAAATCCCACGTCTGATCCATTAATAAGTACTGATAGCTCTTATTGCCAAAATGTATTCAGAATTTTGATAGATCTTTAATTATTACATTTTACTTATTTATTTAGTGTGTGTGTGCATGCATGCCTGCACATGTGCCTGTGCCACTGTACATATGTGCAGGTCAGATGACAACTTGTAGCAGTCAGTTCTCTCCTACCACGTAAGTCTCAGGGATGGAACTCAAGATATCAGTCTTGGCAGCAAGAGGTTGCCTGCTGAGCCATCTGGGCAGCCTTGGAAGTTTTATACATCATATGTTATATACATACACACATAAATATATATATATATAAATATTTCCATATAACATCGCTATCTGAAAGTTCTATATAACTTATTTATCTCCCTCCAATACAAGGTAAGCTCCATAAATGTATGGAGCCTCTCTCTTTTGTTACTGGCTGTATCCCTAGCACTTAACAAACATGTCCAGCCTGTAGTCTACAGGCTACAAGCACCTTAGGAGGATATCTATAAATGAAGCCCAAACAAAATCATAAACTTACGTAAAATATTAAGACATTTTGTGTTTCATAAAATTTGATTTCACAGTTCTCAAGTGTGAACTTTGTAGATGATAATATTTTGTCTCAATGTCAGAAGGTTAGAAATGCCTAAAACACTGTGTGGTACATAATAAATGCTCAACAAATATTTGTTGAGTAGATAAAAAGAAAACAGCTTACTTGGTTGTTTTGAAAACTAGCTGATACTCAACCATTTCTTTTGGGGGGGTAAAACACTGAATTCAGTTAGCAGGTTTTAAAATAGTGGGGCTTTTTTTGGTCTAATTTTAGCTTGAATATGGTTTGGCATGAGATGTTTTTCAAAAAGACATTAAAGTTTCTCATTTAGAAATTAACTTTCCTAAGGGAAGAATATTTTTAAGCATGGCCTGTTGACATCTACTGGGCTTTGAATTTTGGACATTTGAGTGAATCAAGCCTAATTTTTTTTGCCTTAGTTACTTCATCTGTAGAATGGGAATGCTGGGAGCGCTTATCCTGTGCTGTTACTGTGAGAATCAAATAAAATAGTATATGCTGCTAATTGCCTAGCACAATACCTAAGAGTTAGGAAATCTTTTAGAGAACAGAAGTTTTTATTATTCTTATTAAGATGTAAGAGAACTTTTTCAAACAACAGAGGAAGACCTGCAACAGAAACAATTGAATACATTTCTCTAAGTGAAACTGGAATAGCTGTCCGGCTCTTTTGTGTAAATGGCATTTCTTTGGGAAATGATCCAAGCTTTGAGGGCAATTCCTTTGTCCTTTTCCTCAGGAGGCTTTTGTGGGCCTGGACAGATTTGTCTCTACATCCTCACAAGAGCAGTCACACTGCGAACTCATCATACTTAATGCCCCCACTTCTTAAAGCCTTCAATTTTTACTGCCATCCCAGGTTCTGGGTTCTGAATCCAGTGATTAACATCACTCAATATATGTGAGAATTTCAGCCATTTCCTTTGTGTGGAAAGTGCTTCCCGAGTGCTGGCACTCTAGCTTGCTAAATGGGTTGACTTGGAAGCAAGTTTGCCCGGGCTTCAAGAGGTAAGGACAATGAATGATATCTGTATCTGTGCCATGAGCAGCTCGTCAGATATATCTTTGTGTTAATTTCTAGTCAAACAAGGCTATCACGGATCCAGTCCGTAAATGCCATTGCATGCTTTATTTGTCCACTTGCACAGGGACACCGAGGAAGCTCAAGCCTCTACAGGAGCATTTGGCTCCACATTCGAAGAAGCAGCCAGTGCCTAGGGCTGCTAGTCAGTATCTGAGCCACATAATTTTACATTTGCCTCCCAGGGTTTATTTCTTGCACTCTGATTTCATTCTTATCTCCGGCAGCAACTTCTTCTGAGTTGGGCTGGGCATGCATTCATTTATTCACTCATTAAACCCTACAGAGATCAATAAATACTTGTTAAATCACACAACTTCTTTGCTGCTTTAGAAGTATCTTTTGGTTTTGTTATTTAGATGCAATTTTACTGTTTCTTCCTAGAGATGCTGTAAATTTTTTGAGTATATGGACTTGCACCTCATTCCTGTTTCTTGCAATGCCACACTGTGCTCTGGGAAAATGAATCCTACCCTAGGAGCTGGGTCAAATTGTCTCATTGACTATTTTTTTTTTTAAAAACTGTGATTGTTAGGAGAAAATAGCATGCAACAACCAGCAATTACTGACCCGTTTTCCTACTATAATGCAACTTCAAAGAACAGCCTAACAAAGGCTGTGTTGAGAATTAGAAACTTACTCATAAACAGTTGTCCATCCATTTTCATTACTTTTGGTTGCTAGAAGTCCTGTGTTTCCTGGATAGGTCATCAAGGCCAGATTGTAGCCTTGGGCTGACACTCTTTTCAGGACTCCGTTGCTGCTTATGGTTAGCCAGTATACCTGCCCACCAGGCACCACAAGCCACAGAGGCATGCCCCCTGCATCCCGGCGAATATGCACTGAATTGCCATTGCTGCTGGTGATTGCGCCCAAATCACCTTCAGCATTGTAGGTGAAGTTATACACATAGTCCCTTGTGATCAAGTTCATGGTGTGGAGGTGGGTGCCATTGACAGTGAACTGGTAGAGTTCTTCATCAGCAGGGGAGGCGATTTCATAAAGGTTCATATCATTGAGATGGGCTTGGTTCCTGCTGATGGTACGAATACGAATATTGCCAAGGTCTGCTACATAGAGGGTACCATCAGGCGACATTGCTAAGGAGGAAGGGGCTTTCATCTTTGCATCTTTGGCATAGCCACCATCACCTGTGAGAGGGAGAGAATCTGATTTTAATAATTGCCATGACAAGCACTTGCATGAGCATATCCTACATGGAAAGCAATACACATCAAGAACCATTTTAACAGGAAAACAATGAGTGCACCAGTGTTCTTTGCATAACCCCTCCAGACAATTTTGAAACCCATTATTCAAAAGATTATAATTCCTGAGTTAGTACCACTAAAGATGAACAGTAAGATGTAATTATCTCAGTTACACCGATTTTGTGAATTCCTAAATCCTGCTGTTCACAATCTATTGTAGTGAGAGATACAAGAAAAGCAAATAATGATAGCCACACAAAATCTGCCTGAAAACCCATGAGACGAATGCCTGTCACTGCTTGTAGGATTCTGTTTCAGGATTTTCTAGCCCTACCATGCCTAGAGGCCCTTTCTTCTGCTAATTCCCATTGTTCTGGTGTCAAAATATACTAAGTCTGCAAGTGCAACAAATTATTCAGAATATCGAATTTGATAACTTGGATAAACATGAGATTTGCCTTGAATGAAAGATACAAATTGCTAAAATATCTATAAAACTCAGCTGGGCATGGTGGTACATGCCTTTAATCCCAGATCTTGTGAGGCGGAGGCAGGCACATCTCTGTGAGATGGAGGCGAGCCTGGTTTACATAGTCAGTTCCAGGCCTGCTGGGGACAGGGAGACTCTATCTCAGAAAAAAGAGAAAATATCTGTAAAACTCGTTAACCAAGAATACACTGGAAATACTGAACAAAGCCATATTGGTCAAATTTCTGAACCAGGATCCCCTTGGCCTAAGGAAAAACAAAACGTATGAAGACCATTCAGTCTTGGATGAGTAGCATAATTGGACTTCACACAGTATGGAGGGATTTACACTTCCCAGACTGAATATATTTGCTGACATTTAGAGGTCTATTTGTTATCTCTAACAACCACCTCATTTTTTTTTCAGGGGAAAGAAGGCTTCCCCTCATCTTATTTCGAATAAAATTAAAGGACACTGTTGGTTACAGAGTTTTAGAGTTTTGAAAAACAGGTAGATAGCAGTCCGGTGTTGGAGAACTTTCCATTGTGGGATTTAATTTTGCCTGTGCATCCTCAAAGCATTTTACCTGTGTCCCTTTGAGTGTCGAATAGCACATACTTTTAATGTGAAAAGTAGTCACTTGGGGTATTATATTTTCCTTAATGAAATCAGTAAATATTTTTAAACCTCTTTTCCTTTCTCTAAAGCACAAACAATGCCACAGTCTTATACTTGTATAACGATGCTGATTTTCTAAGACTCTAAAATATGTTACATTAGTTTATTCTCAGAACAGCAAGGTGACACAATAGAGAAATATACTTATCTATATTTAACAAGTAAGGCAAATGAATCATGAAAAGGTTTTGTGGTTTTCCTGGGTCAATCAGCTGTCAGAGCTGACTTCCTACTCATTGCTTTTTCCACTAGCCCACACAATTGTTTATAAGGATTCCTTTTGTTTTCCTGAAGCCTTTTCTGACGCACATTTTACTTCTGAAAACGGAGAGGGGGAGCTGGTGAATTGCTGAAAAGGTCATACCTGAAAAACAGTCACAGTTGGGATCAATTTTGCAGTCGCAGTCAGTGGGGGCACCAGCGATGATGGAGATCTCCCCATTGGTGGTCACTTGCTGAATGCGGTTCACTTTCCTTTCGTCTGTTTCAGCGATGAAGAGCAGCCCGCTGTGGGAGACGCTGATGGCCCTAGCAGACTCCAGAGTAGAGTGAATTGCTACCTTGCTGACCAAGAAATGATCGATGCCCGGCACCTGGCAGTGAATGGGGCGCCCTGCAATGATCCGCACACGCCTGTTCTCAGATATTTGCAGCACAATGTTGTTATCCAGGACATACAATGAATTGTCCATGGGATTGACTGCAAGGTCTGTTGGCCACTCTAATCGCACCTGCAAAAAGAACAGAACACACACCATTAAGTTACCATATCTTTCCAGAGGCAATTCTACATTGAAAGAAAGAAATAGCTTACTGTTTCCAGAATCTTACCAGATTTCAGCAAGATTGACATTGCCTGGTGGTGAGGACTGGGTGGGTAATCACATGCTCTGGTAAACATATTTGTCATCTATGCCATTTCCAGCATAATGTAAATTGTTTTCTATAATCCCAGATATATCTAGAAGAGTGGGTCTCACAGTATAGTCTCTGAACTACCACAGCATCACTTGGGTAGTTGTTAGACATATAAATTCTTAGGCCCCATTCCAGACCTATCCAATCATAAACCCTGGGGGTGGAGACCCAGCCATTTCTGTTTTAAGAAAATGTTTGGATGATTCTGAAGACAACTGCTCTATGGATTCAGGATCACTGTAGATATACAAATTTCTCTTAGTGTCTTGTACATGCTCAGAAAAGCAATGTCATTAAGGCTTTTGGACAGTAGGGTGCTTGAGAAACTAGATGACAGTCTTCTGAGCAGTACTGGCCATTAGCATAGACCTAATATTATCTCCTACATTATGCAGGTATAGTACATCAGCTGTTGAATTGAAGTCCTAGGTTGTAGCATACTGCTCACTCAGCTGGGTCTTGTTTACTCCTTTGGTCTTCTTCCTTGGCAAAGAAGCAGGCTGATTTGTTATCTCACAGAATGTTTCCTCAAAACCTTCTCTGGGCTAAGCTTTATGTTAGGCTTTACGGTTTAAAAAATTTCCATGGCAAAAGCCCGTGCTCTCAAAATAACCACTAGAGCTCTTGAAAAGAACTACTAGCAATTACTCTTCCTCTTATGAGAAGGAAGCAAAGACAGGGTATGAGAGCACTTCACCTGGACTTGGAGGCAGGGTATTACTAAATAAGACAATATTTAAATCAAGGTTGAAATGACCCATAGGAGAGAAGTAGCATGAACTTGAGGGTAACTTGGGGTAGAATGAACAGCATGGGTAAAGGCCTAACCATTAGAGACAGCATGGCCCAGCCAGGCTACAACAAATATTTCAGTATGGTTAATACAATTTTGGTACGTGGAAATACTGGATAACACCAACCAAGAGGTAGACAGCAACAAGATTTTACAGAGAAAATCTTGTCTTTTTCAAATTCACATCTTGTGTTACTAACTTCCAGTGTGACTACATTTGGAGATAGGGTCTTGAAAGAGCAAAGGATGATTGTTGAGATTATAAGGGTGGATCCCTAATCCAAATGACAAGTGTATTTATGATGATGGAGATGCCAGGACTGCAAACACCCAGAAGATAACTATATATGAACATATCAAGAAGCTGGGTAACTATTTTCACAGAGAGAAGTCTCAGGAAAAATCAAATGTGCCAATACCTTGTTCTTGATCTTGTAGCATGCAGAGGTGTGATAAAATGAATTTCTGTACTTTAAGCCACCTAATCTTTGATATTTTTTCATGACATGTGTAGCAAGCAAATACACCAGCTAATGAAGGGAAATACACATTCAGTTTTATTGTTATGACTCCCGGAAGCCACTGAAGGGTTTTAAGTAGGAGTGGGACATAGTGATACATGGGTTTTAGTAGATGGATCCTATTGTCTGCTGTTGAGACAATGTTGGAGGCAGATATAGGCAGTTAGGAAGCTTCTGCAGCAGCCCAGGTAAACGAGGATGACAGTGTAGCATATTGAGAGTACCTAGATTTAAGATGTGTTAGAAAGTAGAAAAATGACTCTCTGTCTCTGTCTCTGTCTCTGTCTCTCTCTCTCATCTTTTTCTCCCCCCCCCCAGTCTAGTATGCCCTGTCCAAGTGCTGTGGTAGACAGGGACACACGGACTGAATAAACATGGCTCCGATGTAATTCCTTTCTGGCCATGAGTTGGTTCAGTGCCTGCCCTGACATTTCCCAATAGTGACTATCCCTGGGCACTTCTCAGAGAACAGTGCTCCATGTTCTGCTCCCACTTCACCATTCATTACTGTTCATTTCTCTCCTTTCAGCTAGACAAAGGCAGAAAAAAAAGTTTCATTCATGGCTAAAATAGTGACAGTAATATAACTATTCTTTTTTGCTTTGAGTGAAAGCTGCAGGAAGGCTTTGTTTTAGTCATGGAATCTGAAAGTCTGGAAAGAAGATATGAGCTGTCATTGCACACCGAGGGCCACTTCTTTGTCAGCTGAAAGAGTCCTGCCACACAGCCAAAAATGAAGTGGAAACAGGCCACATCTGATATCCAAGACAAGAAATTCTCTTTACTTGTGCCCAGTAAGGGAGGGGAACTGGTGCTGTGAGGAGGACAAAAGTTGCCTTTGGCCTTTCCTATTGCCTTTCCACAGAGGGTGCTCGGCCCCCATGTTTGAGTGTTTCCAGATGCCTAGCATCTCTGTGTGCCCTCCACCTCCACCTCCAGAAAATCTGGCCTTCTCTGGTCAGTACCATATGCCTCTGGGCGGCTAGGAAGGAATTTGAGTGCTAATGGGGTATAAAGCTCAGCTTGTATTATGCATGTTCTACAGAGCCTTTCAGACTGAGGCCATTGGATAAACATTAAACACCAGCCTTAACAGCTCCCAGAACAGTTTGTGGTGATGTGTTCCTCAGTTCGTCTGTCTGAGGTCTTTACATGTCAGTGCGCTGCCACTGAGAGAGCAAGGGAGTGCCTGCTGCCACTGTTTTTGCTGGTGCTGGTGCTGCAGTGGGTGCTGACTCTCCCTTTGCTGTGGGCCCCCACCTTGGACCTCGACACACATTATCAAGCTTGTATAGATGCTGTCTGTGTGCACTAGTCCTATGGAACATGGTCCCCCAGGAAATAAGCCAGGGCTGGCTGAGGAAGAGGAAATGAATTTATTTCAGTACAACACTCTGATTTTGATCCAGTCTGAAGTCAGTGACCCAGAAAAAACGAATCTGGCAGAAATGACGTTCTAATTATCCCCACTCTGGGAGCCAAAGCAGGGGCAGAGGCCAAGGATGGCGCACACCTGGCAGAAGCTACAGGAGGAACACATTTTGGACTCCTCTCAGCTATCAACGATGCCTCTGAGATGAAGGCTGGAAGTGAGAAAATAAGCTGTTCAATTCTCCAACTCTCCCAACCCGATTTCAGCCAATAGTATTGGTGTCATGTTTATCAGATTTAATATTGCCTCAAAAATACATCAGCTATCGTGTCTGTTTCCTTTTCTATCAAATAAGTTACCCTCTGGCAGTTTCCTGTGACTAAAGTGGCCTTTGTGGTTTTGAGACACTTTCTATACCAATAACACAGAACCCTTTAATTTCCATGTGATTTGGCAGAGCAGTTTGTCTATGAAATCTGCTCTGATGAAAGATATGTGCCTGCTTAGTAGTCAAGGGGATGTCTTTTCAGAAGACGGACCTTTTTGTTGCCTTTAGGTTGTCAGTTCCTTTTTTTTGTCCTTCTCATGTTAAATACTTCCATTTCTAGGTAAATTGCCAAGGAACCGGCGCCTTACACCCACACAATAGAAACACAGCACTTACTATTAAGGCGTTTCCATAATAAGCAATCTGACATATAGAATGAAGTTTGGAGGCTGATTCTCACAGCTGGAATGAGCATCTATTAGTTGCGCAGGGAATCTCAGAACTGTTTGATACTGAGATGGCTCTAAGGTTAACGTTCAGAAGCTGCTGACATTTGTAAAACTATTTTATTGTGAGTGGGGGTTGTGTGTGATGGTAGAAAAACGTGCTTTCTTTTGGGGTGGGAGTAGAAAGAGATGAAAGAGCAGTGCTGAAGTCTGTGCACACTCTGCTCAGTGACCCGGCCTGCAGGCAAACCATTAGGTCTAATTCATGCTGCTTGCCCCACCTTGTAAAAATACACTCATTTGTTCAAAATGTCAAAATGTATTTAAGCAAAACTAGCATTAAAGTTCACCGGCATAGCCGCAAGCTGGTGGAATTTGCCCATCTCCCAACAACCTTCCCTGAGGAATAACCCTGAGCAGAAATGAGCGCTTGGTTGGGATGTCAGCCCCTGATGGCACTATGTCTTCCTATGGTAATTGGAAACTTGCCTTGAAGGGAGCTGACTCTCAGGTCAAACAGTCTCATGCTTGATTTTTTAAGGATCCAGCTAATTTTGACCTCAGTAGCAGTTTATAAGACAGCAGGATCCTACAGGGCAAAACCTCGGTGAAAAATCATTATCTAAATATGAGCCCTTTGATTAGAATGAGTTAGAAGTTATAGGACTAATGTCACAACAAAGATATAGACCATCCTTTATGTACTTGGGCTCCCTCTAACAGTTTGACTGCAGGTTTCCATTCCTTACTCATGTGTAGCAAGGAAAATAGGCTAATAATTGTGTGTACATATATGTCATATTTATTTATCTACTTATTTAATTATTATCATATGCATTAAATGATATAGTCATTTAAGGTACTCAGCCAGGCGTTCAGCACATAGTAGGGGAAACTAAGTGATAATAATAGTTTCATAGCCATGGATGTTTAGAGGCAGTCCAGTAATAATTCAATGTAGTTCCCTTTCAACTCTTTCCTAAATGTCAGTTGCCCATAATATGACTTTCATGAATTTTGCTTTACCTGTAACCAACTACAATTGACTTAATATTTTTCTTTAAACTGACCTACTTATTAAATTTGAATAGGTACTGTCTGTTTCTTTGAATTGGTACTAATCTATAGCACCTACAAAATTCCAGGAGCACTGATTTGGGTCATAAGTAGAAGTAGTATTTGTTGAGTGCTTCCTAGGTATCAGGCCCTTTCCAAGGATAGCACTGTATGTATTTCAGAAAGAAATCATTTGAGAAAAATGACTTCTGTTCTCAATTTCCTATATTTCTACCCTTCATTAGTTCACTTAGTAAGTGATGGAAGGCAGGTCTAGAAATACGTCCTTCGGCAAAGTAAATGCATGCCCAAAGTCACATCACATGAACACAAGGTAAGAGGGAGTTTAGGCAAGAT